GGGCTTGCTGCTGGCATTAAGAGTGTGCACATACAGCATGTTCCCAAAAAGCCTTGGGACTCAAAACGTCCCTCTGTTCTGATCACTTCCTACTTACCCTATTGGTGGGGGAGGGGCTCTGTCCCAAATAGTGGGAGAAGCCCAAATGCACCCCTTCCCCCACTGGACAGATGAGATGGACAGCAGCTTATTAGTCACTAGACTCACTGCCTGGGCGAGGAGGACACAGCATGTTATGTAGGGCCACGTGGGGCTTGCACTTGGGAACAGAGTGGACCTGCAGGGGCCATGACGGTCATGCCTTGTAGTAACAGGAGGACCAGGTAACCCTGTGTTCCCATGGGAGGAGTTTCCTGTCTTGCTTGAGTAATTTCACAGATGGGCAGTGAGGTGAAACCCATTCGGCTGGTGCCTGGGTGAGGGGCGGTGACTGACAGGGGACTGGTCAGGTGGGAGACCTTGCCTGCTGGGAAAGGGGCATGCCTGGTGAGGGCAGGGGAACTCACAGTTAAGCCCTTGGGCCTCTGTGACACTCAGAGATGTCAAGGCCACCCATAGAATTGTAGGCCTTGGAATACAGCCTCCTAGAGCCACCTCTGCCTTTCTTGTGCCTTATTCCCTGGGTTATCTAGTCCTGGGTTCAAATCTGTCTTTGAATTTTCTCAAATTCTCAATGCAGGAAGGGAGATGTCATCAGTGATGAGATATACATTGTCCATGAAGTAAAAAAATGAAAAAGTCTTCTTGACCACCATCAGGAGCAGATCAGAAGCCTCGCCGCCTGCTTACCGAGAGCAGGCCGGCACATCCCCTTCTCCAGCCTTCCAGGGACTTTTCCCACCGTTGCAAAATTCTTGCCGTCTGATCGGACTCATGCAAACTGATGTTTTTCACTCTTTGTATCTTTTTTTGAGTATTTCAGCTGCTATTTAATACAATGTCCTATAGCCTGTACCTTTCCATGGCCATCAAAAAGAAAACAGAAGAAAAACATTTCCTACATCAATTTACAGTTTATACATGTGTTTGTAAGGAAACCAGTTTGGGTTCGATTCCCAAGTCACTGGGGAAAGGGGTTGAAACCCAGATTCCTTTGGGATCCCTTCTGTCAGCCCAGCGTCCCCGCCCACCCCCAGCAGCAGGTGCTGGTGCTAATGGGGCACACCTGCACCCTTTTGTGGGGGCCGCCTTGGTTGACTGGAGCCAGCTGCTGAGAGTCCCTCCGTCCCCTCGCAGTTCACCCCACCGACAACCATAGCTAAGGACTGAGTTGGGGAAGAGGGAGGAAAAGCCCAGCTTGTTTCAGGGCAGGTCAAACTTGAGGCGTTTATGCTCCAGAGCTGCCCGTGGGATCAGGTGAAAGCAGGGCTTCATGGAAAGCCACATCCTTTCCCAGCGCTTCCCTTTTCCCAGTGCTTCCTCCCTCACCCTAGTTCGTTTCTCCGGAGACCACACCCTCAACACATCCCTTATTCCAGAGCTTCATCTCTTCTGCTTCAGGGAAGCTGGCCTAAGCCAGGGTTATTTCTCCGCAGCTGGAGGCGTGACATAAATTACTAGTATGTCCCCTTTTACAACCCTTTTTATTTTCCTAAAATGACAATTTTAAAGCTTTATTTTTATTATAAAAGTGATACATGCTATGGCTGGAAATTCAAATCATGTCAAAGAGTATGAAATAAAAAGTTAAAAGATTTGAAGCCCCCACACCCAACTCCCGGTCCCCAAAAAGGTACCCAGTGTTAATTCTGTAGTATCCTTATGGAATGTCTATGTATCGTTAAGCATAAATATATGTACTTTTTACATAAATTATGTCAGACTAGGCTGGGCATGGTGGCTCACCCCTGCAACCCCAGCATTTAGGGAGGCCAAGGCGGGCGGGTCACGAGGTCAAGAGATTGAGACCATCCTGGCCAACATGGTGAAACCCTGTGTCTACTAAAAATACAAAAGTTAGCCGAGCGTGGTAGCAGGCACCTGTAGTCCCAGCTACTCGGGAGGCTGAGGCAGGAGAATCGCGTGAAGCCGGGAGGTAGAGGTTGCAGTCAGCCGAGATCATGCCACTGCACTCCAG